TGCGGCATGAATAATTTGATTTCGTTTGGCTTATGGATCCATCACTGTGAATTGGTGCCGAAACGGCATGCTATCAAATTAAGGAATGATCAGTGTCAGTGCGAAACTTCAGTCATTTTTCGATATTGTTGAAAAGTCACTTTTTCTACATTGTATGTGTGTGTGTGTATGTCTCCCACTTGTTCTCCCTTTCGCCCACTTTTATTCGCCCGCTATTTCGTCTCGACTCGCTTATTGGTCTCTTGGCGCTGTTTTCACAATTTTCGTGCCATAACAACAACTGCCATATAACACAACGTTCGGGCTGATTTGTCATCATCTTTCATCATTGTGCGTGAACCACGTGAATTTCATGTAAAATGATTTCATATTATAAGCAAATCATATGTATTCATCGCATCGCTTAAACTGTCATTTGGTATAGACCTAAATCTCTCTCTCTCTCTCTCCTCGGTGTGTGCATGTGTTAGTCGTCTGTTTGATAATTAGATTTTACCAACGGAAAGTTTTACTTAGTAAATTGTATTGGTGTCAAAAGCGGAAGGAAGCAAACATTCGCTCGGCATCGCCATGATAAGGGAATTTGTTGGATAGAACATCAAATCAAACCATAATACAACATAGTTTAAACGGGCGTGTGTCTGAAAACGAGAGAGAATGGGAGAGCGAGTATAAGAGTATCATAGTTTATTGTTATTGTTATTGTTTGGCGCGCGTTGCATATGCGTGCGTATATAGTTTTTGATGGATAACGTCAATTTTGCTTGCAAAATCTGCTTTTCTTGTTATTCAACACACTTTATCTGCTTTCGTGTGCTACGTATATTTTTTCTTCTTCTTCATTTACACACAGCCACAGTGTTAACTCTCAATCAAATCTCAATTTATGTGGAGATTTAGTATGATGTTACAAATGACGGTAATCATATGGTTGATGATGACACAATAGACAAAAAATCGTATCCATAACAAATGAACCATCGATATCGATGCGATTCGATCGGAAAAGACGTTTAGTGTATCATCGATGATTGTTGTTGTTGGTTCTGCCAATGCCGTTCGAACACTTCCAAGAAATGATTTCTTCCGTTCCTTTTAAATTGACGGCATCTCAATCCGAATTTGGTGCCAGCTCAAAAGTAACGAGAAAAAGAAGACGCGGCAAAAAAAAACTTCGCGGTAAATACAGTAGTGATTGTGGCATTTTTCATTGGCACCGCCGGTCATGATATTTTTATTGTTGTTGCGCAAACGTCGTTGCGTATCGTTGTCGGGCCGAAATTAAAGCATTTTTCTTCTCTAATCCACAAATCACAAAATCACCCGGTTCTGTTTCTGATATGCATGAGAAGCAGTTTAAAGTAGAGTACGGTACATGTTTCGCGTTGATAATGTTTTCTGCTGTTACTGTTACTGTATTTTCTTCTGTTTCCTTTCTACCTTTTACCACTTCTGCTTTGTCGTATGGCAGGCTCTGGCATTGCCAAAGCTTTATATTTGACTGTTCGCCAGAATCGGTATGGTGAAAAAAAGAGAAGAGTGCACGCTTCGTATAGACACGGTAACCGTGTGTAACAAGAGCGTGGAGAAAAGATTGAGCTTTGTGTCCTCAAACTGATGGTTGGGCGTTGTATGAATGTGAATGTGTTCAAGAAGCATTTTTCTCGTCAGTCGTTGTTGCTGTTGTCTCTCAATCGCTGGGTTTTTTTTTCAGCCAGGGAAGCTAAGTCATAACAAACATTTTGGCGAAAGGTAATGTGACGGTGTGTGACTACATATGATCTAGTTGAAAGCATCACGAGAGGAATATTTTTGTGTTTTTTTTTTTAGATGTGTGTCGAAAGCCAGTAACACCGATATTCTGTAATCATGGAGAACGAATGGTTTGTTGTTTGTGTTCCATAAAAAATAGAGTAAAGGAAAGAAAAAACAGCAAAAAAAAACTATGAACAAACGAAAAGAGAGACAATTTCAATGGAAAAATTCTGGCCGAGCGCATTAGGCGTGCTGTGTGTGTGTGTGTGTGTGTCGGTGTCATCGTATACTTCCAGACAGGCATGGATTCAACCGAATTGGATACACACAACGCACATCAACTGAGTTATCTGAGGGTTATGGAGCGACGGAAAGCGATGGTGGTAGTGGTGGTGGCGACGGCGGCTTTGCTTGCGCGAAATGAAAAGGAGTGAAGCTGATGGTATCGGAATGGTCTATACAAGATGAGAGTTCCTGCTGCTATATTCGCCGTCCACGCCATCGCTTGCTCAGCAATTCAAAATGTGCGCGCCCTCAGAAGCGCGCTCAGCAGACCCGCTTATTCGGCTACGTATGCGAATTATGTTTTTTCTCCTTCTCTCCTCTTGGTACACAACAAAACACACATATAAACTGTATGGAACCGCTTCTGTCTCTTTCTCGGCATCAGGCATTCACGTTGTGCCGTTTTGTAAGCTCTCTTTCTCTTTGCTAGACCCACCTCCCCGTTCCAAACAACAACATTGCGAGAAAAAAAAAACGGGAACGAATTTTGCTATATATGGATATGGAAAATGTGCGCTTTATATGCTGTGGGAGTGCGCGTGTATCTATGCTGCACACACAAAAATATGTGTGCTGTAAGCTTCTATGTTTCATCTCATTTTTATTATTTATTGTTATTATTCTTGAAATGGTTTGAATGGAAATACCATCGCATTTATGTCGTCAAGATGTAAGACACGCGTTTATGCCAAAATGCCATCAGCTATATTTGTTGGGCCGAAAAATGTAGTAAATATTTTGGACATGCATTTATTTCTTTATCGATACAACTTACAATCGAGGCCGATTTAACGATCAAATGCTCAATAGCAAAATGAGCGAGCAAAATAAACCGGAGATGGGTTAATACGAGAGTTGAAGTGAATGGGAAATGCTCCATGGGCAGACGGCAAGTGAAAAGATGCTTGCTTGCTCTCTCTCTCTTTCTCTCTCTCTCTCTCTCTCTCTCTCTCTCTCTCTCTCTCTCTCTCTTTCAAATGTGAACGAGAGGGAGAAAGACAGCGTGCCGCAATAGAAACGTGATAACCAATATGGTATTTGGATTGATGGTGCGAAGCCGCACGAATCTTGAATTCCGATCATCATCACACCACACTCACTTTATTAAAATTGAATAATTTGATGGCAACGACCAAATCCCCGAATGACAATAAAAATTTAATTGTCAAAACGTTTCACGTAAGTGAATTATGACTTACACAAGTTAATTACGACAAACGAAAATGTAATGAATTTTTCGGATACAAAAAAGCATGACAGTAGCAGCTAGCAGTAGAGGTTGCATCATCAAAGGGAAATAGCGTGCTGCTTTGTAAATTGGAGCAGAGAGCGGTTCGTTGCTCGTTGTCGTCGGAAGTTTTGTCAAAGACTCGCATTTGATGAGTGAACTTTTGAGCGCGTAAAACCAATTCAAAATGTCAACTAACGAGAGGAAGAATAACGTCGTCATCGACTAAGATAACGATGAAGACGACAATGATGATTATGATGAAGATGACACAATTGTCTCAAATGAAGAAAAACAAACCGACGCACAAAATTTCGACCGTCCGAATACAAAGCAACAAACGGCCACCACAGCCACGATTATGTTTGATAAAAGTACGAAAATCTATTTTGATCTCAAATTTAAACATGGAAATTCTATTTTCAAACCAACTTAACTGGTGATATTCGCTTTTCAAAATAGAAAATAAGACTTGATGACAACGACATAACGAAAAAGAAAACACACGACTGTATTCGTTCATCGTTTCGCGCATCGGAATTAAGTGTGTATCCAGAAAACCAATTTTCTCTACTTAGAGAGATAGAGAGTGAGCCAGCGAAAGCTGAAGAGACGGTGTGAGTGTATGTGTGCGAAAAAGAGAGAGCTGTGATCGCAAAAAGTAAAGAATCAGCAAAAAGAAATCCCGTCCTTAGAAAGAGCGGCGGGCAGAAAATGCGAGAACTTGTCTTCGGTAATTGTCATTTGGGGGAGAGCGAGAGAGAGAGAGAGCTAAAGAGAAAATCGATGACAAGACCAAGAAAAAGTTATATAACTTTTTTCTCTCGCTCACACGTTCACTTTCTGGATCAATTTTTCTTCTGTTTTTCTCTTGTTCCCCTTTTTCCCAGTTCATTTCTCGGCTCATATTCTGTGTGCTCACTTGTAACATTCTCACGAACCGATGTTCTTCATGGAATTCACTTCTCGTTCGCTGGCTCTCGATATCAAGACAATTGAATCGTCGTCGGGGCCAATCGAATACCGTTAGCAAATTCTAATTTGTTGAAAGGAAGTCTCGCGCGGCGCGCGACCGAGATGCGTCTCTATATTCAATTTTTAATTTTCCATTATCCGTCAACGTTTCACAACTCCGGGGCTCTAAGAGTACTGGCGATGGCTGACTGGTTGCCGCTGCCGACATCGCCGCCGTCACTGCTTCTACGACTTTTGCTGCTGCTGTTGTTGTTGTTGTTGTTGTTGTTGTTGTTGTTGTTGTTGATGTAGGACTCGGGGTTTAACGTGTGTTGTTTGTCATTTTGTGTGTCTTCCAGTGAATGCTCCACTTTCTAGTGATGGATACACACTGCGTGTGTACGTTATACTCACTTTATTCTGCGTTGCGAACACGGACTACACACTTAACGTGAGGAAGCGAGATATGAACTCCAGCAGCAGTAGCAGCATCAGCATCGTGTGCAAATACAAAGTGGAAAACTGAACACAGATCAATGTTCGATGCTTTTGCTCCACTGCTGCTGGCTGCTCTGATATCGTCGACACAACATACACGAACACACAATACATGCGACCGAAAACACGTTGTGCTTTACTGGCTGCGATATGGAATATCGCGTGCTTTGCTCAGGCATCCAGTGCGAGAACGATGTTGGATGGAAATTTTTTCTGCTCTTGCATTGCACATCATCATCCCCCATATCGAGGCATATAAAAGCTAGACGAACACATTAGGACCGTTCAGTTGTAGCTATCGCTTTCGTACTGAACAGAACGAACAGCGGAACATCCGGAACGACACACAGATATATGAAAATACATACGATTCTTCCATAGATTCGCACGCGAATTTTATTTCATCGACGAAATTATAAGTCAACTGAGATATAAATACGTGAAACGTACAAAGAGATTTTCCTCCCATTACAGTCACACTATCAGAGAGATCTCAGGTCTTCTCTTGGCGAACACATCAATTTTTTTGATCATTAGCGCAATATAAAAATGTTCTTATTTTTCTTTTTCATATATTAATATTTATTAGAGAAAACCGACAACAATAAGAACAAAATAATTATACGTGAAAATTACCATTGCAAAGACGAACAAAAATTACCGAAAAAAGTGTATTAATCATAAATTAGCTGTGAGTGAACGTGAGTGCTTGTGAAGGTTTACCATTTGGCTTTTTATTAAATTAGTTTCTTTCAGATATGAATTATTATGGTTTTGGACAATGGTTGCAACTTGTATGGTGAATTTTTCGAAAATGGCTTTTGGTTTGATACATTTTATTATCCTTTTGATTCCAATTTGTTTGTATAAATTGGTTCGTTCACTGTGTCTCGCGTGCGCTAATCCTCGTTTTGAAACATACACATCGTGGGACTCGCGCCACCAAAAGCAAACATATACTGATATTTAACTCGAAACCACTCAATAATAATAATTGAAAAAATAACATGGCATTAAGGTTCGCCGTTTAAAATAATAAATTTGCTAGACTTTTTTTTTTCGTTCGTTCGTTCTGTTGATATATCGATTTGGGCTTGAATAAAATAAATAATCGAATACCGGGACTGGTGCTGATTCGCACGGCAGAACGTTCAACGGAAATAATTTTTCTATAAAATACTTGACATTGCACTGCACATCAATTATATGGATGTGTTCGAGTTGCGATGCATTAAAATGCACTTTGCCAATTGAAGTGAAGAATCTAAGGTATGCCTCGGCAACTGCTGCTTTTGCTGCTGCTGCTGCCGTTACTGTCGAACCACCAGCTGAATCGTAAAACAACAGAACTTTTGCTTTTATTCAATCCTCACGAAATTGCCAATTACGCATTTTTTTCTCTACTTCTCTTCCTTTGTACGCTTTCTTTATCATGCTGTGTGTCTCTCTCTCTCTCTCGCTCTCTCTCTCTCTCTCTCTCTCTCTCTCTCTCTCTCTCGATAAATAGTATGTACGTGTGGCTCAGCTATTAGTATGAAAAATTACCAACTGAAAACGTATCGTAGATTTCTATTCATTGTTGATGTTGTTGCTGTTCTTGCTGCTGTTTTTTTTGTGAAGACAGTAAAATTCAATGATTTATATGCTCATTTTTTTCTTTCTAAAGAGACCAATGAGGTGAGAATACTAATTCAATGGCCTGGGCAAATAGTGCTGGTAGTTGCTATTTTTACTGAAGAATCAGTATTCATCATTCGACCGATTTCACTTGCATTAAAAGATTCAAGCGATTGAATTTCGGAATGGTGGTGGTGGTGGTGGTGTTTGTGAATATGACAAATTCCGTCAACCGATTTGTGAACAAACTCGGTTGATTGATGAAAGGAATGAATGATTGTAAGTTTCAAATCTAATGGATTTTTTTATGGTCTTTTATTCTTCTTTTGCTTTTTTCTTCTCGTTTTCTTATCGTTAAAATCGACGATTCCAAAAGAAAATGCAATGAAAATGTGATTGATAAGTCATTCTATTTTGAAATAATCGTAAAAAGAGTCGTGTAATGTATTTAATACATGAAATAGAATATCAATCACACCATCTCCCGAGTGTTATCTAACACCAAAAATTGAAAATAATCACAATTACATCTGCCGTTAATTAGTTGCTAACAGTTGATTAGAGTCAACCAAAAAGCAAACAGAAAACAATGGACGAAGTTAGAAAGCGAGATCCATTGAGCGGGAGAGACGCACGTCAAGATGAGGAGAGAGAGAGAGAAAGAGAGTGGAAGAGTAAGACAGCAAGAGAGCGACGTAGCAAAAACCAGAGGTTGGTTGCATATAAATTTATTTATATAAATTTCAAATATCAAATAAATTTTTCCGATAATTTTCATGCGTCGTGTTGTTCTAACGCATTTGCCAGCTATTTATTGCTGGAATGAGATTTTCGTTTTGTTCATTCACCGTTATTTGTCAACAATTCTGCCACTGTGTCACTACATAGTATATATAGTCCATAAGAAATGTTGCAGAGACGAAAATGTTTGCCATTTAGTTTTACATTGCCAATACATTAGTTATGGAGATTTTTGTTTTGTTTTGTTTATTTTTTGTTGTTTGTAAACAAATCTGCTGATCTTTTTGCATTGCCACTGTACATAGTATATGTCCATGAGAAGTGTGTAGAGACAATGCAAAAAGATATGCAGATTTGTTTACAAACAACAAAAAATAAACAAAACAAAAATCTCCATAACTAATGTATTGGCAATGTAAAACTAAATGGCAAACATTTTCGTCTCTGAACATTTCTTATGAACTATATATACTATGTAGTGACACAGTGGCAGACTTGTTCACAAATATCGGTAAATGAACAAAACAAAAATCTCATTCCTGCGATGAATAGCTGGCTGCCAATACAACAGCCGATGTTTCTTTCATGTACTACGAATGCGTCAGAACAACACAATGCATGAAAAATATCGGATAAATTTATTTGATATTTGAAATTTATATAAATAAATTTATCTGCAACCAACCTCTGGCAAAAACAGTAGAGCGATAGATAAAGGACACATAAAACTGTAGATGGAAAACTATCAAACGTTCGTCGTGAACATTTTCCACGATAAAGAAAGAAATAAAAATCATGGTAAATTGTGCAATCGATTGACTTGTACCCTTGCACAAAGTAATTGACATCAAAAATGAAGCATTCAAAAAAAAAGAAGAAAAAAAAAATCGAAAGTGATGCGCTCGTTCTTCAGCATTGAAATGTTCAATTGAAATGTTAAAATGCAATTCCCAACGAATTGACGAGCGCAATGCATTTTCCCATTGTTCTATTCAAATTGAAGATTCAAGCGTATGATGATATCGAATTCAAATGCTTTTGGATATGCCCTTTTCATTTCATGTATTCCCACTTATTTTTGGTAATGAAATCCCACTGAATATCAATACCAGAGGTGGTAGGTGTGTGTTTTTCTCATCATCTATTCTCTCTTATAACGATGCGTGTGCGTGTTTCTTATTTTTTTTCGACGCCAAATCGTGCAAAACAACGAATTTAATGTGATTGAATATAGATCGAGTAGGATGTTGTTATTGTTGCACAACCAACATTTTCTGAAAACGAGAAAACCGAATAATAGCCAAGCACACATTTTATTGACAGTCACTGTTCGTCACAAATAATTTCTATGTGGAGACGAACTACGTCAGTGCATTTAGCAAACAGAAATGAATAAAAGAATGAATGAGGTAGAAAAACAGAAAGAGAAAGAATAAGAGGAAGACGAGCAAAAAAATAAACGTTGAAGATGTTCACAATAAAATCATAACAATTGAATATTCGTGAAATGAATTCCACATTCATTTTCTAATCGATATCCGTGTAACAATAAGCTTTAGATAAAAATCCAAATTGAATGCGAGAGAAAGAGAAATGATAGCAGTTCTAGGTTGTGCGGGAGAGAGACACATCTACAATGGGGTGGCCAACAGAATATCTCGAGAAAACCCCAACAGAAAACTGAATAGCACAACGAAAGACTTGCAATCTTTCCGAATATGTTTGTGTGTGTGTGTGTGTGTGTGTGTCTGAGAGAGATAGAGAGTGAGTGTACCTTCATTGCATCGCATCTTGCCCATGAACTCGCATGCTGACTGGCATTGCGAGTGAAGCCTTTTATAATCGGATCATCTTCTATAGCAACGATATCAATCGTTTCACTGAGATTTCACTTTGCTGGAGTAAATTGACTTTACGCAAAACTCTTCGTTTTCTCTATTGCTTTTCTTTTTCTTTCTCAAACGATCTCTCTCTCTCTCTCTCTTTCTCTTTTTCTCGCTTTCCCCCTAACGCTCTACTCCTCTATCGACATTTTCGCTGTACCAATAGATGGTCTACGTAATGTTTTGAAATGATTACGAAAATAAATAATCAGAATGTAATAAATACACCAAAAGGAGTGAATGAGTGTGAGAAGGGCAGCAACAATTTGGAATAGATTTCAAAAGGTCGACGACAGTGGCTGCAGCGATGGTGGTGGAGGTGGAGGTGGTGGAGGTGGTGGTTTGTGTTTTCAAGGCAAACGTAGTAAATGAACAATATGTCAATTCAAAATGCCGTTTTGTATTACCATCACATCACAATACACCAAGTAAGTACCATTAGAGGGCCAGAGCGTCTCAAAGCATTCAGTCCGCCACTGTCGCCTGCCACTGCCTCGGCAATAGCATCAAGTGGCGATGAAATGACGAAGCGATACGGGTGAACAATGAACACACGTTGCACGACCAACGCAAACATATAAACACCAAGCAGAAAATCGACCAATTGATTTACGATAAACAAAATTGGATAAAAATATAATTAAATCGGATACATTCAGTGATTCTTTGATTCTGTTCTGCCTTTTCATTCTGCACTTTGTGTGTGTGTGTGTGTGTGTGTGTGTGTGTGTGTGTGTGTTTGCTCCGAACAGAGAAAATTTTCGGTAGGAGATTATTGAATCGGAACTATTACAAGACGTCAGATTGATGAGCACTCATCAATTTTCCTCTTCAAATTCTCTTTGTGAAATCAGGCACACTGTATTAAAACTCTCCATCTCTCCCAATCGCATCTCTTTTCTTCATTCGGCTAAAAGAGAAGAAAAATTGGCCATGACCAGGCTTTTCACATTGCAAGAGCGATAGAAAACCGAAAGGCAAAGAGCAACCGAATGAAATTGGTTGAGCCAAAGCTTTGCTATATACGGATAAAGACATTTCAAACAACGTTTTATACCTTAAGATCATTGGAAATGAAAATGCAGTAAATCAGTGTGTGTGTGTGTGTGTGTGTGTGTGTGTGTGTGTGTGTGTGTGTG